TACCCGCGTTATATTCTTATTGCAACTAACCTTTTTGTTATAAGTCCATTCACCCCTCACTCATCCATTAATTCCTTCATTTATTTCTTCATTCATTCATTAAACAGCCCTTGTATCGTTACAGTCTAAGTTTCGCCAAATGTGTCTTGATAAGATCATCGCCTCCTCCTTACATGTCATGTATATGTCAAATAAATGGAAATGCGTACTTTTGAAAGTGAATCATATTTAACAAGTAGAACTGTTACATTCTCATGTTTTCATTTTGTATCCAGGATTTTTTTTTAATGTCATAATCTTCCTTTATCTGTTCTGTACCTGTTGTCCATGAAAGAAATTGTTATTCTCATACGACTGCTTATTCAGCAGAAAATAATACGAGATCAACATCACTAAATAGGGCAAGAATGCAATTTTGAAACATTATCAATTCGTGTCGGTGTTGTTCCTAACTTTCTGCAATAATCTCACTTTTTATACTCCTTGATTACGCATGAAGTCTAATATCTTGCTTACAAACAAATTTAATTGTTGCTCATTGATTGTTATATCAATGTTTCACTATTTTGTATTCACAGTCCTGTTCATCACGAGATGGATTCTGTATGCCACAGGAGGGTCAGACGCCGGCGAAATGTTGTGTTGAAATGGGAGGCTGTGAGTCGGTGGAGGATTGTGAATAACAATGGAGCTTTGTGCAAGGTTCGTCGTTCAAGATGTACTTGTGGCACGATGGGTTATATATAAGTTCTTTGGAGACAGCATGCTGAGGCCTTCATCCTGCAGTGGATCGATAATGGCTGAAAAAGAAAGAAAGGTTATCCGGCGAGATTCCTGCAATAAATTAATGACAGATCATGATGATTAAAAGTGCTCAAAGCTAGCCTTATATCAATTCATATTTAGATATGTTGATGTTGATATAATTATTAGGCCTATACTGCAGCTCCCCCATATGGACATGAATTTTGGTGATGGGTGAGATATTCATTTTTAGATGAGATAATTTGAACGTAATATCTGTTAGTTTGCCGACGCCCCACCTTGTCAATCACATCAGGTGATACAGGGTCTGAGCTATACTGAACTTACACCAAACTTTCATAGACAATGTAATATTTACAATACTTATTTATAATCTGTTATTTAGAAATTCATATGTCCATCATTGTCCATACGAAGAAGGAATATTGTATCATGCATTTATATAGAACCATTATTGCCTCCATCCCTCCATCACATCGATTCAATATTATATTTTGAACTTATGCATTATGAATTCAATATCCCTTGCAAGCTAGAAAAAAAATGATAACACTTTAACCCCCTCCCCCCTCATTATCATCATCAAGTGCCGGGTTTGTTACAGACATCGGCCGTCATGGCCCTCCATTTCTGCCTATGTTTCGAGTATTCTTAAAGAGCTGGTATTGCTAATTACATTTTTGGTTGCCCATTTAAGGGTTAAGGCTTCCTAATATTTTTTCTTCTAGATAATCCTATCTGTATATGTCACAAATTACATTTGCATCTTTCTTATTGTGTTGATGAGTGATGGTTTTACTCTTGCTTTCATCTTATTAAATATATCCTTGCCGTTGCAATTCTTTTCTCTATCTCATGAATACTTTTCACATCTGTTTTCTTTTTGTTTAAAGGAAATAAATTAATAAAATGAGAAGGAAATACATTTGCTTAAATGTTGAATCTTCTTTTAGCGTCGTACGTACCAATAATTATGCTCATATATTCGAGGAGTAATGTTAAACAATGTATTTTGAATGACGACATAATATTGATAGCAGTGATTATATTTCAAGGCGGGAATACATGTACCTTTCTTTGGATGTGATATCATCAGTAAAATGGGACCAGTTTGATGAACAAGATATTGTTTGGTATAATAGAGAAGACGAGGTGTGAGTATAGTTCATTATATACCTCACTTAAGAAATCCAGCCATCTGATTGGTCGAAATTGCAGTCTTGATTTTAGCCATTCCCGTAAAGAAACGAAAAATGCCAAAACCATTTAATAGTCCAAGAGTGAAATCCCGGCAAAATTCCGTGATGTTTTAACCAATCTTTACTCGATAAGGCCATTAAAAATATTCATGTTTAACGTCCCCGCCCGCTTCCTTTTTGGGGGCCGCTCCTATTTTGTTATTATTATTATTTTTTTAGCAATTTAAAAAAAAAAAAAAAAAAAAAAAATTAAATTAAAAGAAATAAAACATGAAAAACACTGTTAAAATGAATCTATTTCTTATTTAAATAAAAAAAAAATTAAAAAAAAAATTGTCTGCGGCCAATTTGAAAAATAGCCCGACTCTCAGGGGAAATGTACCGAGCGGCCATTTTGAGCAGCCATTTTGAAAGAAAAAAAAGGGCCTCCTCCTTCCTATTTTTCAAAAAAGCAGGACGCTAAACATGTTTGTTTGTTTTTTGGTCCTTAAAGGATAAGGTTAGAATTATTGGTAGATATTTGTTTGAATTCGGCATATAAAAGGGATATCGACTCCTTTAATACTCGAGGACTGGCTGTTTCTATACTGGCTCTCGGGAAATTTAATAAAGATAAGAACATATGGGAATGAAAGGTGATAAATGATTAATATACCCGCGTTATATTATTATTGCAACTAACCTGGTTGAAGAGGGCCCTCGACAAAGAGAGAGAGAGAGAGAGAGAGAGAGAGAGAGAGAGAGAGAGAGAGAGAGAGAGAGAGAGAGAGAGAGAGAGAGAGAGAGGGGAGGGGTATGGTTTAAGAGGGCCCGCGACGCCGTGAGAGAGAGAGAGAGAGAGAGAGAGAGAGAGAGAGAGAGAGCTAGGGCCCAGAGGGGCTGAGAGGGGGTATGGTTGAAGATAAAGTAGAAAGAGAGAGAGAGAGAGAGAGAGAGAGAGAGAGAGAGAGAGAGAGAGAGAGAGAGAGAGAGAGGGGAGGGGTGGTTTAAGAGGGCCCGCGACGCCGTAAGAGAGAGAGAGAGATAGAGAGGGAAAGAGAGAGAGAGAGCCCAGAGGGGCTGAGAGTGGGTATGGTTGATGATAAAGTAGAAAGAGAGAGAGAGAGAGAGAGAGAGAGAGAAAGAGAGAGAGAGAGAGAGAGAGAGAGAGAGAGAGAGAGAGAGAGGGGGGAGGGGTATGGTTTAAGAGGGCCCGCGACGCCGGGAGAGAGAGAGAGAGAGAGAGAGAGAGAGAGAGAGCCCAGAGGGGCTGAGAGGGGGTATGGTTGAAGATAAAGTAGAAAGAGAGAGAGAGAGAGAGAGAGAGAGAGAGAGTGAGAGAGAGAGAGAGAGCGAGAGAGAGAGAGAGAGAGAGAGAGGGGAGGGTGGTTTAAGAGGGCCCGCGACGCCGTGAGAGAGAGAGAGAGAGAGAGAGCCCAGAGGGGCTGAGAGGGGGTATGGTTGAAGATGAAGTAGAAAGAGAGAGAGAGAGAGAGAGAGAGAGAGAGAGAGAGAGAGAGAGAGAGAGAGAGAGAGAGAGAGAGCGAGAGAGAGAGAGAGAGAGAGAGAGAGAGAGAGGGGAGGGGTGGTTTAAGAGGGCCCGCGACGCCGTGAGAGAGAGAGAGAGAGCCCAGGGGCTGAGAGGGGGTATGGTTGAAGATAAAGTAGAAAGAGAGAGAGAGAGAGAGAGAGAGAGAGAGAGAGAGAGAGAGAGAGAGAGAGAGAGAGGGGAGGGGTATGGTTTAAGAGGGCCCGCGACGCCGTGAGAGAGAGAGAGAGAGAGAGAGAGCTAGGGCCCAGAGGGGCTGAGAGGGGGTATGGTTGAAGATAAAGTAGAAAGAGAGAGAGAGAGAGAGAGGGGGGGGGGGGGGGGTAGGGAGATTGGTTTCATCACGGTTAGGACATGAAGCAAGCTATATGGGCAGCGACTCAAAAACGGGGAACGGGCGAGGGGGTCTCGATGGACGCGACATTTTACGAAGGCAACCGAGCTAATAAACGAAAAAGAATGGTTATAATGATAATGCATATTTGCAGTATAAAAATACAATTTTAGCGACATCCCTCAATGGCTGCGAGGACCCATGCACGCCACGCCACGATTACTTTGGAATCTGAATAACACCTTTACCATACAACCATGGTATTATTTGCAATGTAAAAGTCATATAGGATTGGTGTAGTATAAAAACAAAATTAGATTCCTCAAGGTTTTAATGTTAATATTCATTAGCTTTGAACTTATTTGTTTTAAATTTCTTGAATTTAATTGGTACAGAAAAAAAAATGCTTTAGACACAAGCTAAAACATAATGATGTGGGAATGGCTAAATCTTAATTGGTAAGCGGCATAAACATTAAAATTAGGCTCCGAGATAGGAACTATATAGATATTGAGAGCAGGGGTGGATCAAGCTGTCGGCGAGGGAGGGGGCCCAATTTATGAGATAACAGCCGACCGGCAGAATAAGCGGAGGGGGGAGGGGGGGGGGGAGCTCTATTCACAACACCCCCCCCCCCCCATTTGAGTTACAACAATTAATTACCATCTTATTTTTTAAACCTTTTTTTTTTTGCCAGGGGAGGGGGCCCCTCCCGGCCCCTTTCCCCCCCCCCTAGATCCGCCCCTGATTGAGAGTTATAGATCAAAAGAAAAATCAATTTCTTTAGTCCTGGAATTGGAACAAATGGTATATTGTCTTAGAAAGAATTATAGGCCATGCTAGTGAGATGAAAGAAAGCAGGTTTTAAAAAAAAGAGAAAAAAAGAGAAAATATCTATGATAGCAGGGTCTTCGTTGAATCGCCTCTTTTTCCTAGTATAGGAACTTTCTTTTATTTTAGTTTTTCTGAGTCATATCTGCATAGACCCCCCCCCCCCCCCCCCCCCGTTTGCATGGTTTCACGCGCACATAAAGTTTCTTGTATTTTTAACTTCATAGACATTTGTTTTCGTATTTCATCCGACTTCATCATGATAGTCCTATTTTAGGATCCCAATTACGAAAGGTGCCCCACCCTCCCATCTCGAGTTTCTCGCATATAGACATTGTCTTTTATGGATTCCATCTGTGGCTGGGCACGCACTAGTCGAATCTAAATACGGATGAAAAACAACAATGGCCGCGGACAGGAAGGCATCTTCTCTCAGCCGTGTTTGGGTCACCATTCACCGCAGTGATCTAGCATGTGAGTATTATCCTTCGTTCCTCAAACCTTCAGTAATGATTTATGATGCTGTTAAACAGATTAGAGCATGAGATATGTTGAAATATATAGTGAAATATAGACATTGCAAAATTAATTATGTAACTCAGTCCCACGCGTTGAATTATATGTTCGCTGATGAAAAGGTTTTAGTGACTAGATCTAGTGTGTGATGCATGATGCATGAATATGCATGAATGATGAGATCTGGATCCGACTGAGGAGGAGGAGGAGGAGGAGGAAGAAAAGAAGGGGAAGAAGAAACTTGGACTATAGGAGGAGGAACATAAAACTAAAGAAAGAGTGTGATGATCCAATTTCTGAAGTCAATAAAATTCCTGACTTCAACTTTCAAGTAGAAATCTTGATCTTCCTTGATAAGTGGAATTTTTTTCAGGCTGGTTTTGTACCATGATAACTGATGATCTTGCTCGTTTGACCTTTGACATTTTCACTCTCTTAATAAAAAAACAAGTGCTCACCTACATCATGTAACTCGAGGGAGCTCCGACGCCAAAGTAGCTCCCTGGAGTTTACATGTACCGGTATGTCACTATGTGGCATTACAAATACAAGTCACTCAAGCTTAGCCATCTGTCTTAAGAGGGTCTTTTTAAATTCTAAATTCTGTTTATATCTTACAGCCGAGACAGAAGATAAATCAAAGTCTGTTCCGCGATGTGTGATTCTACCTCAGGACAGTCCCACTCCAGAGATCCAGGATATCTTCAGGGTTAGTCTGGCATTACAAGATGAAAACTTGGTGTTGAAGGTAAGGAATATCTTACAGGCTTATTTTAAGATTTCAAAATGCAAAACCTCTGAAATATTACAAAATCAGTGGTTTGGGATTGAAATGAATGACAACCCCCTCAACCCCAATACAATTTTCTACTGTCCTTAAGATGTCTTAAAACCATCATGTCATTGATGCAAGTCATTTCAGTAACAACCATTATTAACATTAAATATTCCCAGCACCTTTTGTACTTCTATCAGCTGTACCTACATGTATATCCCTGTGTAAGTGAGAATATGGGTACATTTTAGGATCAAATTTCATCAGTTCATGATACCTTTGTCCTTTTCCCAGACTCATACTAACCAAGTCCCAGTACACACAGGCACTCAAAAGTTTACCCTTCACCCTCAATGAAAATTTCTGAATTTTAAGGGACACAATGAACACAAACCTGAAATACGTCACCATGTACCCCCCCCCCCCCCCTGAACTAAGCCGTACATGAAGTGAGATGAAGGATGAGCATATCATGTTACTCTAGATGTGACCTTGACATTCATATAACAACAAGATTAATAACTTTGTTTACAGCTCCGTAACAACCGAGGTTCATTAATCCCTATCAATGGATTCATCACACCTAATTCAAAGTTCCAGTGAGTATATCAAATTCATATATCTCATAATAATAATAATAAAAATGGGTTCTTGTATAGCGCTCATGTCAGTCAGATTTGACCCTCCTGGCGCTCCATGAAGGTTATTATATTAAACACGTTTTTATATTGTTAACCTGTGATATGAACAGGTAATAGTAGCTTAGCAAGTTGCTTGTGAAAGTCAGTCAACATTCATCTGCAGTTGCATAATACACCCACAAATTTTAAGCATTACTAGTACTCCAAACTATTACTGTCACCTGTTTGTCTACTTGTAATTCAGAAGGAAAAAAAAGAAAAAAAAATTCTGACGTTTATAGTACATTGATTAAAGAGTACTTTCAATGTATGTTAAGCATGAGACATGTCCTATTGTTAAAATGGAATTGCTTTGGTGTTATCTTTCTACAGACCTTATGTTCTTGAAGTCACAAGACGTTACCAGAACGGTAAGTATCAATCCAATGATAAAGCTCTTTTTTCCAGTTTGGAATACCTGAGTATGACAGCTATTACTATATCAAACCTAAACGGATAGACTGTGTATTTATTTTTATATTTGCAGAATCTACGAATATAGATGATCATGAAATCAGGACTGTTATGTTTATCTCATAAAGTGCAGTATTAGTTTACATCAGATTCCAATAAACTTCCTTTTCTGTATTTAAATCTTGAACCTCCTGTGAAAAAAACACAGTAAGTGAAAAGAATGTTCCAATACAATAGAATAAGTAATTCTCCAAAAATTGAAATTTATTATAAAACAAAGTGAATTATAAAGCTCAATACTTGTTTCCCATCATATAAGCATATGTTTCTAAATTTCTGTTTTTGCTTTTGGAATAATTAGATATTTAAAGATACACAGAACTAAATTCAGAACCATTGTGACCAATTTTATTTGATTTTGATTCCAAAAAAAGGTCTAGGGAATTCAAATAATTGATATGAATATAAATTATAATTTATATGTTATGTCTTTCATCTTTCAACAGTCAAGCCCATGAAGCGATCAGTGAAGATTAATGGCTATAATGATATCATCAAACAGAGACTGCAACAGATTGTGAAGAGGGTAAGCCTGACTGTTTCACAATCACATGCCACCATATCAGTAGTAGAATACAGTTTCAGGACACACAGGGGCCAGTTTCTTGAAACTAAGTTTGTTGACATCCCTGGAAACACGTGTTAATTTTGAAACACTTGTTTCAAGAAACTTTGCCCAGGATCCTCAACATAAGTTGGCTTACTCCTGTTGGTCACTTAGTTTAATCTGGCCCTGCAGCATCCAAGGAGGTAGTCTTGGAGAACCAAATTATGAAGTTGCCAACATGCATTAACATACATTGACTATACTTGTTGGTATCTGTGTCAGCAGGGAGAATTTGCTCTCGCATTTTTTTTTAAAAGAGCATTTCTATTTTCATTATTTCTACCCCCCCCCCCCACCGATTTCCCTCTCCCTCCCTCTCCCTCCCTTTCCCTTATTCTCTCTCTTCCATCTGTCTCCCCCTTCTTTCTTCCAAATCTCTCTCTCTCTTTCTTTCTCTCTTTCTATTCTCTCTCCTCTCTATCTCTTTTCCAATTGATCAATCAGTCAATATATAGTAAGGCCAAATAAAAAGAAAACACATGTTTAGCGTCCTGTTTTTTGGAAAAATAGGAAGGAGGAGGCCCTTTTTTTTTTTTTTTTCTTCTTTCAAAATGGCCGCTCAAAATGGCCGCTCGGTGCATTTTCCCTGTCAGTCGGGCTATTTTTCAAGATGGCCGCCGACATTTTTGTTTTTGTTTTTGTAAATCAGAAATAGATCAATTTTAGCAGTGTTTTTCATGTTTTTTTTCTTTAAAAAAAAAAAAAAAAATAGGAAGCGGCCCCCAAAAAGGAAGCGGGCAGGGACGCTAAACATGTATAGTTTTTTACATGGCTTAACGTATGATATTTGTATTTGTTGTATTATGTTCACAGATTGACAAGTTAGAGCAATTAGAGCCTGAAATGAAAAGCAAACGAGAAACAACCATCGCAAAGGCAAGTACATTTCTCATTATCTTCATAATATGTTCAGCCAATATAATCCATTGACTATACTGCAATTTCTTACAAATCTTCATGAAGCAAAAGCAGTAAAGTCTGTGTGGTTTTGGTGAATCTCTTTCTTGTTCTTTTACTTAATCTACTTCAACCTCATTTTCTTATGCATGAACAATTTCAAAGTTTAGTTTAATCTTGAAATCATGTTGAAATTCCCAAGGCCAGGCATGACATTGCAAACCAGCTAAAAAAATCTGAAACAAATTTTAGGTGTAAACAAATTTAAAGAGAGTAATTTGCAGGAGGAAAATATCACAGCTGTGTGCAATAATGGGCCTTGTTTAAAGCCATTTGATTTGCATGCTGTAAGACACAGAAATAATTTGCTAAGTTTATCTCATTTAATTTTCTGTAGTGGTTATTTTGAAATGTTTTAGCACCTCATATCTGACCAAGGCTTAACTCGGTTTTGATGAATGACATTGATTTATTTTTGTTTTGTTTTTATTTACACAGAATATGACTGATCTGAATGTAAAGATGACATTCCTGAACACAAGGATGCATGAAGCAGAGTCTACTAAATGGCAAGGCATGTTTAAGAAGCATCCTCTCTGGTAGGAAAACCAAACAACTCTTCACTTACGATATCTAGTATTCAACCAACCCTACATACCCTATCTGGATAAATCACTGAGGCAGAAAATTTGAGGTGGTATTCTAAATAGTATGTTTTATTTTATTTCAGGAAATATTTATCATAAATCTAAACATGACAACTTACTGTTTAATGAATTTATGCTTGTAGCTACGTAAACAGATATTTCATATTTGACCCCCCCCCCCCTCCTGAAAAAATAAAGAAAATGTATCAGTAGATCTTTAAAAATGCATTTCCAGATAAAACAATAAGCTGTTTGGCAAGTATCTGTATGATACCCAGCACAATAGTAAAATAAGGGTATTTTATATCTATTTTTAAAAAATCTCGTTTTTTCAATTTTGAGATAACAAGTAGTAAACATACTGTATTACCTTGAGACTGAATCACTTCTTAGAAAGTACTACCCATGTTGTTTATTTCGAGTGTTAGATACTAAATATATGTATATTTTGGAAAGGCATAGAAGTCCTACAAATGCAATTACTGTACTAATTATAGTATCCATGTAGATTCATGAAGGATGAGAAGCCATATAATTGAGTTACATGTACTCGTACAGTGGAACCTCATGATAACGAGGTCCTTAGGACTTTACCTTGTTGTATCAGGAATCTTGTTATATTAAGGTAGAAAATGAAAGAATATAAAGAGCTGGGACCAGCAAAGTCACCTTGTTATAACAGATACCTCGTTATATCGGAGCTCTTTATAATGCAAGCGTGTAGCCAGGATTTTATTTTAGGGGGGCGGTAGTGAGCACGCGAATCACTTAAAGAGCGTGCACAGCGCGCTCCCTAGGGTGGTGGGTGCAGGGAGGGGGGGGGGGGGGTTTTGAAAGAAGACGATTCGTTGTACCTTTCTCGATTCTTAATCCTTATCTGAATTTAGTTTCCTCCCCTCCCGCGCAAAACTTTGAAGTTTCATTAAATTATTAGAGAAAGAAGACGACTCAAAGTACCGTTCTCGACTTCTTAATCCTTGTCTGATTTCTGTTCCCCCCCCCCTTTCGCGCGAAGCTTTGACGTTTCATTAAATTATTAGAGAAAGAAGACAATTCGTTGTACCTTTCTCGACTTTTAATCCTTGTCTGAATTCAGTCCCCCCCCCCCTCCTCCTGCGCGGGGGGGGGGGGTTTTGAAAGAAGACGATTCGTTGTACCTTTCTCGATTCTTAATCCTTATCTGAATTTAGTTTCCTCCCCTCCCGCGCAAAACTTTGAAGTTTCATTAAATTATTAGAGAAAGAAGACGACTCAAAGTACCGTTCTCGACTTCTTAATCCTTGTCTGATTTCTGTTCCCCCCCCCCTTTCGCGCGAAGCTTTGACGTTTCATTAAATTATTAGAGAAAGAAGACGATTCCTTGTACCATTCTCGACTCCTTTTCCTTTTTTCCTCCTACGTCCTCTTACTTTTTTTCTTCTTTTTCTCTCTCTTTTTTTTTTTGGCCGGCGTTTTTTTGGGGGCGACCGCCCCCACCACCCCCCCCCCCTCCCTGGCTACGCGCCTGTTATAGTGAGGTTCCACTGTATTTAGACAGATAATTTAGCATTCAATAGTCTATGTGCATAAACAGTGTGTTGCAAAAAAAAAAAAAAAAATCTAATTTTTAAGAGAGTGCATATTAGAAGTGAGGGCTCTTAAAAAACAAATGTTATTGTAGGCATAAACATATCTCACTAATTTCATGACTGTCAACAAAAGTGCAATTGTGGAATGGTCAGATTTTAAAAATAGATTTTACAGGTACATGTTATTAAACAATTAAAGATTTAATTTATTACCCAAAGAAAGTACTTGACCAATTGTAATAGTGTATGTGTTTACTGCTGGCTCAGTATTGGATTATAACCTGTAACCTGTACAACTCAATTTAAATCATGCCATTGACTAAAAAAATTGTTTGTTATTATACATGTACATGGATGTTTTAGTGATTCACTTTGATAGTGTTAATATTAAAGAGTAACAAATGCAATGTACTACACTTTTAGTATTATATAAAGTATTTTATGTTAAAGATATACAAGTGGACCAATCGTATCGTATAATAATTTTTAAGAAAATCACCACATCTAAAAATGTAACAAATTTGAAAAAAATTACAATTTGGATTTAAAAAGAAACAAAAGAAAAACAAATGCAGAATTATATAGCAAATTCATGATCCATTGAATTTCTAGAGAAATTGAAATTAGAATTTCACCTTATATCTTTGTCTCACTCTCACACATTATATTTCTGTAGCACTTTTTTTCCATAATACAGTGTCATTCAGTATTTCATAGTCATTCTCTTGCCAGGCTAGTATTTATCAGGGTTTTAGACTATCATCATCATTGTGTAAAATAGATAAAAAGCCACTGAGTTGTGTAAGTCAGGTTCCGATTAAATTACTGTTTCTGTTCTCATTGTGTCAACCTCCTCGTGGGGAGCTCTGTCAAACACATTGTCAACTGACATCTTGCATGCCAACAATCATGACAACTACAGAAACAGCAATAGTCAGCTGGTATACATTTTTAGAATGAAGTTATTTGTAAATTTTGTTTCATTTATGGTTAAAAAGTTCACAGGGATAGGTCGAAACTTCTCCATCTTCATCCATTCATGACAGACCTAAAACAATGAAAACATTTCCCACAAAGTGTGTTAGCTCCCTCCTCCTGGTGCACTGATATACTTGGTAGAGAATCCAGATGTGTGTGTATTATGTTGGACCTATTTATTTCCATTGTAGTGCAGTTTTGCTTGTATTTGCCATCTGTATTTGTGTATTGTGTGTTTGTGATTACATGAATTAGTTTTCAGCTTGTCTGTACATTGTTGCTTTTCACTTTTTACAGGTCATCACTTAATGTTTATCCATTACTTGATTGTTTTCTCTTATTTGTTTTTCTTTCTTTTTCTTCAACCATTTCTGCTTTGAAGATCATATTAGCCTGTTGCTAGAAACTATCATAACATCCCAAAGAGATGCAAATTGTAAAATTAATACATTAGATGGGATATCTGAATGTTTCTTGCGTTGCTGGCCAGATTTCTACATGGGTACATGTAGTAGTGTAATATTGACCCCTCTACAATCAATATAGACACTCGTACGACATGTTTGGTATACATTTTATATATTTATTGTAGATAAGACTTGTCATTTACATTGTGAATAAAGAATAGAACTACATATGTCAGAACACATGTTGCATTAAATTGGCTTGTCTCCAAATTATATTCTTGCTTTAAATAGAATTAAACATACAAATACAAAAATAAAAAAATCAAATAGAAATGTGAAGGGAATGTTGGGAAATGCAAAGTACATCAACAGGTTTCTGTTTTGATGATACAAAAGTGTGCATCGCCTTTGATCTAGCTGAATACGATTAAGATGATGATGATGATGATGTGATGGTGATAATGATGATGATGGTGGTGATTATCTAGAACATGGATAATGATGATGATGGTGGTGATTATCAAGAACATGGATAATGATGATGATGGTGGTGATTATCAAGAACATGGATAATGATGATGGTGGTGGTGATTATCAAGAACATGGATAATGATGATGATGGTGGTGATTATCAAGAACATGGATAATGATGATGATGGTGGTGATTATCAAGAACATGGATAATGATGATGATGGTGGTGATTATCAAGAACATGGATAATGATGATGATGGTGGTGATTATCAAGAACATGGATAATGATGATGATGGTGGTGATTATCAAGAACATGGATAATGATGATGATGGTGGTGATTATCAAGAACATGGATAATGATGATGGTGGTGATTATCAAGAACATGGATAATGATGATGGTGGTGGTGATTATCAAGAACATGGATAATGATGATGATGGTGGTGATTATCTAGAACATGGATAATGATGATGGTGGTGGTGATTATCAAGAACATGGATAATGATGATGCTGGTGATGACGAAAACCCAGTGAAATATACCAGGTAGCTTTGTAATTTGGTATCTGATGCAGATGAATCTGTACATGTCTTTCCGGATTAAATCTAAGCAATATACTGAACAAAGTAGAATCATAGTGATAATCAATGTGCTTGAATTTGTTTTCAAGCAACATAGGACAGATTCGGATGTTATCCCAAGTTTTTTGTTTCGTGGGGGGGGGGGGGGGAGAGAAATCTGCATGGCACCTTTGAACTCACCTCTAAGTCTAGACTTATAATGAAATTTGTATTTTATTACACACAGATTATCTAAATATGAATAGTTATTAACAATATGAGTAGTTTTGGTTCATAATTCTGAATATTACAAAATAGATTTACCAAGTAAAGCTCAATTGGCAGTGATCAGCTCGGCTCTATTTTGTATTTGAAAAGAAAAATACATTTTCAGCATAACAAGCTTTGCGCAGATTCATGTACAAAGATATAAACATACTATACATGTAGGTACTGAGAGGTAGATCAGTGAAACAAATACACGGAGGCTCGGGGCGAATTAGCCCCTGAAAGTCATAAAAGAGCCAAAAAAAATGTGCATAGAGTTCAATATGCAAAACAAATTAAAGAGTGTTATTTTCGTGCAAGCAAGCTTGAAAAGTAGCCCCCAAAATTGTTAAAGTATTTCTTTTCCCTGAGGTAGATTGATGAGAGAGGGTAGAGAGAAATAAGAGGGGAGACGAGAAAGAGAGAGCCGGAGAACACAAGAACACAGAGTTAATTATTCTATTGAGTGACATCATTTTGTTTCCCCTCATTTTCACATGCTTATAATGTAGTTTATTTTCCGGCAAGGGGCAGGTTGAGAATTCGACAGCAATGTTTGGTATACTCCAGATCTGGTAAGCCATTTCGACGAGGACTGGCAAGGTATTCCTTGATGCCAGATTGCTTGGAGAAATGGTCGATGAAAGCCTACGGAAAGGTGCAAAACATCAATATTAGAGTTGTTTTCAACGTTTAGATAATCACAAGTAAGGATATAGTGTCTGTAATACGAATTTTTTACGATTATTCATAATTTTTTTTTTTTAATCCTACTTCAATATAATGCCGCTCAAATTAATCGCATTTGATTTTACTCTTGTCTTTACGTATTGGAAAGCCAGATAACAATTTTTCACTGCCCCAAAACTTGTACATACAACACGTCAATGTTTTTGTACATGTATATAGTCGGTGATGGCCTGTGTTATTGCTGTTTTGTCTGTTTATTGTAATATCGTGTCGAAACATGACATTATATCATGAATGTTGGATGATGAATTCCTATATTAACAATTATCAGTTTCTTCTACTAACAACACTATTGTTCGCACAAATTTTGCCCAAAAGATCAAGGCTCTTACCGAGCAGCGAGGAAAATTCTGCAGTTCTGATTCGAGTTTAGGATCTTCGTGAAGATAGCAGAGACCGTCGAACAGCATGATATCAGCCCTGCTCATTGAATCTCCTACCAGGAACCCGGATGTACTCTCATCTAAAACCTGGTGGATGAGGTGTCCATTATAATTAGGGTCGAAAAAAGATAAGAAAGGGACATGAGGTGAACATGAGGAGTTCAATGGTATCCAAAAATAATCTTTGATTATAACATTCGGTACGATAAAGAAAAAACAGATACTTAAGAGAGAATATCATTATAAAACCAATATTTAAGCAAGGTACATTGTATTTGATAGGTTCCCAAACCGATGCATGCCCCCCTCTCTCTCTCTCTCTCTCTCTCTCTCTCTCTCTCTCTCTCTCTCTGTACCTTTTCAAAGACTGGTAGATAGCGTTCTCTGCATTCTTTGATACCGTTCTCACTGGCTTTATCAGCTGCTTCCTTGGTGAACTGTACCTCTAGAAACATTGGCGACATGAGGCTAGGAAACGCTATATCCTCCGCACCCATTGAAAGCATGTCAATTCTATGGCAGACATTTTCAGGAAAGATTATGGTATACGATAATTAACCATTGCAAAAATCTATACAAAAAAGGCAAGAGGGAAAGGGAAATGTTTACTTTGAATGTCTACAATAAATTTTCTTCAATATACATGTAAAAATGAAAGTATCAGACCAACTTTACCTCGTGTACAGAGATTCTATAACATAAAAAAGAGCAGCTGTATATTGAGACATTGAGAGAACAAAAAAAATGAAACATTTTCTTGCTGACACGCTGGCATCGCTGATAGAATATATTTTGCAGCCATTTTAAAGCATTTAAACAATAATGGGAAAGGTGGTTCCTCAAATGTTGAGGAGTTTTAAAAGTTTACTGTTTTAAAATAATAGGGAAAGCTACTGTCACCAAAGGTCAAGTAAAGAAATATTAATTTATAAGTAAACAAAATAATCAATAACAGCATTTTCTTACCTGTATTTGTCTTCGTCTGTTTTTCCATTCAAGTTTCCCTTTCGACATGCATATCTGAGAATGGCTTCACTACCGATCAAACATTGACCGTCTACCTCTAGCAGGGGCATCTGCCTGAACATTAGCTTCCCATCTATATAGAAGAAAACAGATTTTCTTTTTCTTTCTCATATTACAAAGGAGAAAACACGATACTTTCCCCCCTTTCTCCCCCCCCCCCCCCCCCCCCCCCCCCCAAAAAAAAAAATTCACAGCATGTCAATATATATCATAATGAAAAAATTGCCTCCATCTCTTGTCTTGAGGGATGATTCAGCGTCCCCTCCCTAGCTCTTTCTCGACCCAAAGCTACCGAAAGAATCTATATAGCTAACATAATACAACAGTACTCTCTCGATCTCATGCAATTTCTCTCTCTCTCTCTCTCTCGTTATAGTTTCTGCATGAATGAGGAGATTATGGTTCCACTCGACTGCACGTCAGCGCCCCGCCCCCCCCCCCATTCAATCTCTCTCTCTCTCTCTCTCTCTCTCTCTCTCTCTCTCTCTCTCTCACACACACACACACATACACACTCACTCTCTCTCCCTCCCTCTCTCTATCTTTCTCTCTCCCCATCTATCTATCTATCTATATACCTATCTAAATCTTTCCATCTATCTATTATCTGTAGAGCTCCCCCATCCCTCCATCCCCTTCCAATTGCGTATCCAACATTATACATTTGAAGTTTGAAGCAAGCCGACGTGCATGCATCCCCGCCCCTCGGGCCCCATTTATCTCTTTCTTGATACCTCAACTCCTCTCTCATTACCTGCTCTATTTTCTCTTTCTCTCTTTTCCCTTCAAAATTATCTTACACCCTGCTCCAGGTGTGATCGCACCTACCATTCACCAACTGCAAAAACTGATCTCTCGATTCGAGGTACGCGTCTTCATACTGAAAAATTGAAAAGTCAAACAATGGATATCTATAAAGGAGGCAGACATGATGGTACAGCTACATCTTCAAAATCCCTACGATTTTATTTTGTATTTGTTTACATCAGCAAGGAATTATGTATGAATGTTATTATCATTACCATTGTCTCTTAAGTATACTATAATAACTATACTAATATACTGTAAATATACATATTTTGAAACCAGTTAAAATGTAAATTCTCATTCGTAAAAATTATACCAACAATCCAAAACCAAGTTGAAGGAAACAGTTGTCCCTCTAATCAATCTTGGCAAAGGAATATCTTTAGAAAAATGTCATTCTGATCATTACTAAAAGAGGTCAAGAAGAAGGGTATGTAATACCTGCTCTTATCTATATAGACCGAGTTCGGATCAACCCAAGTATGATATCATTTCAAGCAATGAATGGATAAGACTTTGATAACAGAGCTATAGCTAATGAGTTGATAATAACAGTGCATTAATGAATAAAGGCTGTCTGATGCTAGGGTACTTACTTCGATTCCCGCTGCAGAGAAGGCCAGGCGAATAGATTCACCAAATCCTCGACCTGCAAAGTATGTAAGACGGGGTTTGCATTCCTCCATGTCTATGCTACCTTATGATCACCTGGCTAAAGGTCATGCAAACTAGTGAATATTAGACTTTGGAATTGCAAATCATTCATTTGCAGCTTGCTTTTTATCCAAACTGCAGAATGTTAGACTTTGGAATTGCAAATCATTTATATCGTTTATCTTTCAAATTCTGTTGGAAATGAAATAAATATGAACTGAATTGAATATTGCAGCTTGTTTTATATCCAAACTGCAGAATGTTATATTGCAGCTTGTTTTATATCCAAACTGCAGAATGTTATATTGCAGCTTGTTTTTCATCCAAACTGTAGAATGTTAGACTTTGGAATACATGTAGTACATTCATGTGTGTTGCAGCATTTTCTTTCTACTGAAAAGGTAAGACGCAAGGGAGGGGACAGGAAGGCATTCCTGTCAACTTCAGTCCGTCTGTCTCTTTTTTTTCTCCTTCTTTTCTTACTTCTCTCTCTCCCTCTCTTTTTCTGTCATTCTATATCAGCTTTTCACACTCCCCTCTCTGTCAAATCATTTCATCTCTCTCATGCTCTCTCATCTTACTTTGTCCGATTCTTTCTTCCTCCCCTTCTCGCTGCTCCCCCCCCCCCCCCCCTCTCTCTCACTCACTCACTTCCCCTTTTGTCTTTTCTAACTCTGGTATTCTGGTTTAAACCTCTTACATGCAAACTAAATGCTGAATTCCTAATGATATGTATCACAATACTAGATTTACATGTATCTGATTTGTTTACAGGTAGCAGCATCAGTCTGAAGGCTATTTTTTTTTTTACTTCATGCCCAATTTCCTTCAATGTAATGCTTCTTCCTCCATATACATTACTTTGCAGTGTTTCAGTAATTCACAAAGTATTTAAAAAATAAAAATCAACAAAATCAAGCATCATATTCATCAAATGTTTATTGTATTTATTACATTCTCTATTCAAAGATACACAAAAGTATGGGATAGTTCCAGCAAAGCTCTTTAAATACCCCACATCATGTCATAGCGGCAAAGTGTTACAGTGACATAAATAAATCTCCAATCCAAACTGTTGATTGAGATCAGAAGTTGGTAAGTGAAGTGAAATCTGTATGTGAACACATACACATCAAAGCTAAGATCAAATATATTGGGATCCACAAAACATCTGTCTTCTTAAGACTCTTATGTGATTTGGAATTGGGTGCTTTTAAAAGGTCCTGTACTCTTGCTTGGTAAATTTAATATAACAAGGAAGTACATAGGAACACATGTTCAATTGTTGCATGGATCAAACTACTCTAAATGTCCCCTTCGTTCATGGAGTAGAACATCCGCCCCAAGCAAGTCATCCCACATAATGTACCTGGAATACACACTTTATCACTATAAACTCTCTAATAATCATTTACAGGGAGGGGTTGAAAGGTCAAAGGTTATGCTGTTTCTTTGATGAGGTTTGTGAGGTTCCTGACTTTGGATGCGGTTGACATGTCAACGTACTTATCACCGACCTCTACAATCATCCCTCCGATCAATGTTGGGTCCACCTGCAATCAAACAAAGAGGATTGGGGATAAATGAATTAGTGTAATAATAATAATCTTTTAAAGTCCGCTCCAAATTTTATTAAGTTAAACCGAAAATGGAATTTCTTTTTTGCCCAATTAATCGTGACCCCGGCACCCACTGAGCAGCGCCAGATCGACGTTACTCTATCCCTTATTGTTGAACGCCAAATAAGGAAGCAGCAACTCCTGTCATTTGGTATGACGAGGCAGTGGTTCGAACCCACGACCTCCCGGTTGTGAGGCGGACGCTCTACTGACTGAGCCAACACACCGGTGTAACTAGGAAACTATTGCAGAAATAAATAAATCAAATCAACTGGTTCCAACTTCACATTTAGTGCATTTATAATTCATTTATTTATTGCAATTTCACAATGCATGAGGGAAAGCTAAAAACCTATCACGTTTGGATCTTCTGATGAAGCTATCATAGCTGGATTGAATGAAGTCAATAGGTCTGCAAATGGAATGTAAACTGGTTCTTCCATATTGCTATCATTTTGGAAAGGTGGATTAAGTATTACCTAAATTACCACTCCCCCACCATTTTTCTTTTCTTTTTTTAAAGATCTTTAAAGGAACATGTTAAGTCATCAACCATACCGTGTACTCTTAACATATTATACACTTAGTGATGATCATATTGAATATTTTTAAATGGGTAGTAGGGAATTATAGATTAAAATCCACTACTGTCGATTACTTAAGTGTATTCCTTGTGAAAATAGCAATAATTTAGTACACAAGTCCAATTAATAACTCAATTTCCATTGATCCTGGAACCCAAGGAAACAGTGAACAACAGCATTAGGCCTATAAAAAAAGATTCTCTAGTTGTATTGCCTTTAGGTGCCCAAACATGGATCGGTCGGTCTAATTTTATTGTTATTTTTTTTTCCTCCCTCTTTGGGCTGATATTTATCAATAATACATATTTTGTATTCATTAAATATTTTTTTCTCTAAAACAGGGTAGAAAAAATAAATTATTAAAAAGCAGACCGTAGATTTCAAGACTTTTGGGTCGGTCGCAAAGGGCAATACAACATCTTTTTTGTTAACGCCTTACTGCTGTTACAACATGTGTGTGAGTGAGTACTTACAGTGAGGTTGAGCTGCAATGACTCTCCCTTCTTGATGAAAGCCTTGAGAGCTTCTTGGACCTGCTTCTGTTGACTTGCATCCAATGTCTATCATGAAATAAGCATTGGGTAGGATACATTCAATCATCAATACAGTCAATTAAGAATACCTTCAATTATCAATACATTCAATTAAGAATACATTCAATTATCAATATATTCAATTATCAATACATTCAATTATCAATACATTCAACTATCAAAACATTCAATCATCAATTCATTCAATTATCAATACATTATCTTTAATCCACATGAAAACAGAAGTAACGATTGATGCATACGTCAGTACATGTATATGTGTACAAGTACGTCAAGTAAGCAACTGCTTTCATGCGACCATAAACAAAATCTTTGATTTGGAAAGTGGGAAGCTTTAAAGAAAAGGGTTGCTCTGTCATTATTCATGGAAAGAAAATAGATATTGACGAGAAAGGAGATAAAATTTGTTACATGTTTTTTTCAAGCAAAGCTTTACATGAATTCACCTTCGAGGGCTTCGATAGACAATTTTGTCATGGTCATAATGATTAAAAACACATGTAAACCAGTGATAGACATTATTTTTCCTTTCCAGGAGGGGGGGGGGGGGGGGGGGGGTGGGGGGTGGGGAGGGGGTAATACTTTAATACTTTTTGAAAGGGAAAAAGAAATCTATCCATGAAGCCATTGGGAATGATCATTCTAAAAGACCTAACATACATACAGCACCTTCCACATGTGGATATTTGTGCACATTGCTGACATAAGCCAACAATGATGTTAAAGGCCGTCTGTACTAGTTTCAGCCAGAAAGGATTTTGACCACCCAGTAAGGTCACTGACATGTGGCCATCTCATCAGCTCATCTCTCAATTAACATATGAAAAAGATGTTCATGGGGGACCAACAGGCACCGATTGGGGAAGTTTTCTATATAGAGGGAGCAAGTAGCTACAAGTAGTACAATGGGGCTTTAACTCACCTTGGCTGTTGTGACTTTGCAGATGATCTCTCCCTTGTGTGCTGCCATGATCTTAGTCCAAGCCACAAAGATCTCTTTGACCTTGTTCAGTCGACCGTTCTCAGCTAGCATGCCAAAGAAGTTGACCGTCGAATCGGCCATCTTCTCACCCTTCAGTACATCAGATATTACACCTACATTACAGAAAAGAAATCACATTGGTTTCAGTCCAGCATATATGGCACTTCTCTGCTGAAAAGATTGTCTGTATCCATACCTATAACCAAGGGTTATGAAATTTCACCTACTACTTCAGCCCTTCCCTTCCTGGTCCAAGATGAACAATTTACCTGATTGGATAAAGGTTACCACTTGGCATTAGAACTAATGTGTATTCTCCCTGAAAGTTATTGATACATGTGTTCTGAAAAGTTTACCGGTATTTCATTTATACAGAACATGTATCTTGAATGAACATTTACAATAATTGTTCATAAACTTGGCATAAGAACTAATTTGTATTCTCCCTGAAAATCATTGATATATGTGTTCTGAAATGTACATTTCATTAATAAAGAACATGTATCTTGAATGAACACTTACAATAATTGTTCATCAACATGGTAGTTAAAGAGAAGGTTGAGTTCTGGGGAGAGGTGAAAAATTATTTGTGAGCGCTATCATTGTTATTATGCAAGTATGGAAAACATCAGAGAAAAAATGTTTCCTTTATGTTCACAGTGCTTGATACTTTACCAAGACTGAGCCAAATTGCTTATCATTTTGATGACTCCCGAACCTTGCAGTTCACACCAATACTTATATGCTACATGATCAACTTTTTCTGATCGATTCCACACCGCTTCTTTCACAATGCAATCGCATGACCTGAACCCAACTTTATATTTAACCATCTCAAAAAAAGAGAGATAATGTGTGAACTTACTGATCTTTGCCTTCTTGTTGATGGTGGGGTTCTTCATGAAGTCAGATAGGACGGCACTCTGCTTCATCAGGGACTGAAAGCAAGAAAAGAATGAAAAAACAGTTGCGTAAACTTACACGTAAATCTTGCGTTGACTGAAATGGCATGATATTGGTTTTAATGAGGGACCAATCTTACACAAACACATACTTATGTAGAATATCATGATATCTTTTATAATATTGTCATGAATATATGCCCAATCATTGTATATCGATAATTACTATACGTATATCATGTTCTTATTCTAAATGTATTCTTTGTTTTGGTTGCATCAGCGCTGATAAGTATTCAGTAAGAGCACTTTATAAGAAGCAATCATTATTTTCAGAAGACATAAAAATCTATTGAATCATACTTTAAAATCTATTACAGACATTCAAATGGATACATTACGAAGAATAACAGGAGAAGTTTTATTTGATATTACTGTAGTGATCCATACACCCATTTGTTGTGGGTCAACAAACTTTCGGAGATTGCAAGATATCGGCATTTCTTTCTTTCATTTATATCGGCACTTCCTTTTTGTCTTGTAAATTACCTCGCACCTGCGATATGACATTTGTGGTCTCCATGGTTTGTTTTTCTCGAAGCGCCAATCACGGTGTTCCATAGTCTTGTGTTTTTGGCTAAGCAGCGTGATTATCGGCACTCATCCCGTTTGTACTCGTCAGAGCTACACGTGTCTACGGTTTAAGTCATTTTCCTTACTTCATACATTTCGCGTACGATTTTTGCGACGTTGTATTTTTCTCGGTCTATTTAATCGTCTGCGGTAATATTTCTTTTCTTCGCTGGATTAAATACGGTTCTACATTTGTTTAATTCGCCAAGTAGGCTATTCATTCTTTTCCTTCGGTTGACACAGCCATTTTGTTTCTGAGCAAATCTTATTATTGTATATATATTCCTGATAGTTTCGGTTTTCGTCGAAGCTTCTGATAAGATTGTTTATTGCATTTGCCTTGTGGAATTGACAGAGTGTTTCATCGTCGAGATTACGTAGTGAATTCGTCGAGAAGACACTTCCAAGTTTTTGGATCATTTCCAGTCTCCTTACTTCAGTTTTCTTAGTTCCTTATCGGTGAGTTTAAATTTCATTACCACTTTCTTTTCTCACGTCTTTTTAGTTGAACCTGCACTTTGGTTCTACATTACAAAGTATGCCTAAGGCTAATATGTTTATTCGGAATTGAACATATATGAATTCTGAACATGCCAAATTGTATTCATGTTGTACCAATTAATCTTTTAACAATCAAGTCTAGATGACATACCTGAACACTGCCCATATCTTTATCTACTTGGTCCAGAGTCTTCTGTTTGCTAGCCGCTGAGTAGAGAGCTGTAGCATAGCGACCACCAAAACCATAAACCTGAATTGGTGGCTGGAAGGGTATTGAAAGGAACATAATTAATTATATTTTCCACATTGATGTAATACCACTGTTACCAGGATAATTTCTAACAATGTACCATAGCATTCAACTTTGAAGTCCAATGCACATGCAATAAACTTTAAATGTAGAATGCAAGCTTGTGTGTATTTAAGTCTAACAGTCTTGTAATCCTTCATCATTGTGTGACATATGTACAACTTTGCTGATTGAGATGTAACAAGTCATTATGGTGTGTTGGCTCAGTCAGTAGAGCGTCCGCCTCACAACCGGGAGGTCGTGGGTTCGAAACCCCGGCCGCGTCATACCAAAAGACGTTAAAAGACGGAAGTTGCTGCTACCTGTTTGGCGTTCAACAATAAGGGGATAGAGCAACGTCGATCTGGCGCTGCTCAGTGGCTGCCTGGCTCACGATCAATTGGGCAAAAAGAATTTCCATTTTCGGTTTAATAAAATTTGGAGTGGACTAAAAGATTATTATTATTAGTATTATTATTTTGTTGTCAATTTTCATGGCTAAATATGAAAAAAGAGAATCAGATAACAGATGGATTACACAAATCAATAAGATAGGTCTACATTGTTAAACGTCATATCATACCCCTTCAATCACTGGAAATAATGACTGAATCTATTTTAAAGTATCTTCAGAAACTAAAAGTTAAAAAGTTTAAGATACACGATGTTGGCCCTAAAAAAAACTCCCAATGGAAAATGGAATTATGATGATTATAAATCTTTATCAACTTACCTTCACCATTTGAGCACCCACTGATGAGGTGCTGAAATGACGAACCTACGGAACACAAGAAAGAGAATTAAACGACCATAAGTTACCAGCTTACAAAGATTACACAGAGATCTCGAGTCTTGGGTAATGAAATTAGATCTATCATCTAGGCCTAGCTACTAATCATTCCTCAAAAAATTAGAATCCTACCCGAAACTGTTTAATTTATAATTTAGTTCATGCAAAACCTGTTGGCGGAGCGAATGTACAAACAAAAATCTTTGGATATCTTAAGTCAATTATATTTATAGTTGCGCAGACACACGACTCCCCATCATAGATTTTTTTGTTCGTCTATACCATAACCATACCGGGCAACTAGATCCAAGAGATTCCCATTCCAACTCAAACACCGGCAGCCGTGTGCGCGTTTCCGTTTTACACCCTGCCCTAGGCTTTTCGGCAAGAAATTACACGAAACATGCTGTATCCGAAGTCTAAGTTTGTTTATATCGACGTCAAGAATAGCGAAGCCAAAGCTTATGTACAATTTCAATTGGGGATGCGAGGGTCTTCTTGTTCAAGACGGTTTTCCCGATATATTATTGTTTTGTTATCGCTGGGCTAAATTTTGCGAGCTGATCACGCATCCTCACGCTCTTAGAGTATTGCGTATTAATGGATAAAAATAAATGATACGACTAGGAAGATCAACTAGTTAGTATAGAGAGTTAGCTAGCGCTACGTGACGTTTTCAGAGTTCTGGTGGTGTGCAGAGCGCCGAGGCAAGATGTGGACGACTAGACTCCGAATACCAGTCGGTTTGTAAAATTTTATTGGAGAAAAGCCTAGGGCAGGGTGTAAAACGGAAACGCGCCAGCCGTGTACTGCACCGCACTCACACAGTAGCCGCCCAAGGGCGATGCTTCGCGGCAGTCACATTTTCACTCCCAATTATTCGCATCATATACTCTCTTTAGCATGGAGAAAAACACATGAATATTGACATTATATAATTATTCATCATTTCTTAACAACAAATATTCAACATTGTATTGTGAAATGTAAAAATTTATCAAATCTTACCAAAGGTAGACATCTCCTGGCGGCCATGATGAATATTTAACTGAACAGCAAAGGACTAGTGAGGGCAGTATACTAGGAAGCTGAGGAAGGGTAACATCTGGAAGGGGTGCAGTAAAGGGAATGAAAGGGGTCATGCAGAGAGTGAAGTATCTAGAACCTTAATAGCAAGTTCCATACTTCTGTAACAAATATACTCACAATCAATCAAATGTAAGGAGTTCAGTAGCTATGCTAACTAGTTTATAATGTAGTTGTCGTTGATAATAGGTTATGGAACATGACACAGATTTAGACCTACCCCACAGTCATTAAAAAAGTTACATGTCAGAGAAAAGGGGCTGCTCCGATATTATTATATTTGAACACAGCGTATTCAGAATAAGACTGTGGTGTATCTGACTCATAGAGCTATATATTAATGGTCTGACTCTATTATCTTTTAAAACTTATAATTTTACCTCGATTATTATCAGGTCCCTCGGAGAGGACCTAAAGCCGTCGGCCGTCTGGTTGCTTACTTACAAGCATTTATGCTTTCTTAGCAGTCAGGTAAACTGAATAACAACCACCAACCAATTACTGCAAAATAACGGAATAAGATTTGAAAAGTTTCAGTTTTTGTGTCAGAACAGACTTCAACGGAGATTGATTTATATCAATTTAGATGATACAGACACATCACTAAAGAACAACAAAGTATATAAAATGATTAATAAGTCTGTCATTGCAAGTTCAAACATCCATCAACTTTTTTCAATATCTTTTTTGTTGTTGAAATAATATCACAATAAGGAATATCTAATACTTGACAGTCAGAGAAGAGAAGTGAATGACATGTTATATGATTGAAATTTGTATTCTTCTGCCGGTTCATACTTTTTCATTTTGTATATACTTATGTTTTTGTACGTTATAGAAATTCTACAAATTCATCATTATTTGCCTCTTCTTCCTCCTCCTCTTTTTCTTCTTCTTCTTTTTCTTCTTGTACTTATTATCATTTCTATCATCAGTTTAATGTTGTTATTATTATTATTATCTTTGATAAGTAATTCTTTTATTTTTCTTATCTGTCTGTAAGTATTACTATTTTAACTTATTAATTTTTATGTCTGTAAGGGACCCCACTGGAAATAAGCTCTCGAGCTTTCGTGTGTTATCCTGTTCAAGCTGACTTATTTTTGATCTGTTATTATTGTATATTGTTGTATGTTGGAAGCTTAATTGTCGAATAAAAAATCAATCAATCACAATTAAGAGTAGGCCTCAAGGCCTATATACATCGAGGTGTTGATCTAGTTCTAATCCAATCCCAACTCCCTAAGCTAACACTGAACAAGCGGGTTGACTTTATGTATGAATTAATATGGAGAAGCATACTAACATTAATTAAAATTATGATACAACAAAATACACAGAACGGATATCGAACATTTATAAAATTTACAATACTGAAATATAAGCACAAAATTAATCAATGATTTCCACATTTTGAAATTTGGCATTTACGCATTTTTCTTAATTTCAATATGCATTTCTCTATTTCAAACGTAATAAAACACAGTCTTAAAAACATTTAAAAAAACTTCTGGCTACAGAAATGCATGGTGATAAAAATCGTATTTGTTTCGTCAAATGAAGCTCCCTCTCCCCTCATTGTCTTCCCGTCCTCCTTCCTCCCCAGTGGCGGTCCCATGGGAGGGGCGTGAGGGCGCACGCCCCCTTTTACCTTTCAGTTTCATCCCCCAAAACAAAATGTTCAGTTTACTCAACATTCAGAAATTCCTCAGAATGCACCATGAAGCACCAGGGGCCGGCGGGCCTGGACCCCATGAAGGCCTCGCAGTACATTTCACACCCCCCCCCCCCCATCCCTCAGTTTGGACAGTCCTAGATCCACCCTAGCTACTCCCCTCCATCTTGTCTCTCGATCTACCTACCTTCTACCTTCCCTCAATACCCCTCGACCTCCCCTACCTCCCCTCCTCGTCCATCTCCGTAGTCCATCTCGCAAACGCTTTCGCTAATTAGCTAGGGTAATAATTTCCAACGCTCTTTGGAAGCGCAAAGAGATGTTATTTGATAACGTATTATGCGCTATACAAGAACTGAATATTGTTATTATTATTATCGCAGTGTAGATGGATGCATGTATAGTCATGTGCACTAGATGCGTGTACTATCGATCTCACTCTACATGCATCGTACAATACAACTCCTACCCGTCCATTATAATGCAGGCTAGTGTAAGAGTAAACATCGACTAGAATGAGACCTTTCTCTTTCTCTCTATAGCCTTGCAAATCATCGCAAACAGCTACTGTAACATTACTAAGTCTATGACGTCACTCTAATGGTGCCATATATCTATCTAAGGTCGTGCGTGTCATTAAAATCAAACATCTTTGCTCCTATCTTGAATTCTAATATTCGTGTCGTCTGCTCCAAACTACATACCAGTCTCTCATTCAACAACATGGCTTCCGAACCAGGGAAAGACAGCAGTGATGTGAAGGGAAAGGTCAAACTGTCTGCAAGTACATTCAGAAATTGGGTGACTGGTGAGTGAGAATAATTATATTAGGTGAAATCCCGTAATAATAGTTATACTCAATTAATGATTATAAGAATGTGTGTGTATCAGTATGCTTGGTATATGATTCAAGTAGAATGAGTACAGTAGTAATAGCATGGCATATATTATGGCTGTAATTCATATTTCGCATTTCCCTGTCCGTGTTGTGTCAGTATGATAATATAGAATATACAAAAGTGATGAGTATATTAGTGCTGTATGTGTAGGTTTTACTCGGTGTAAATACATTTTAAGAGTAACAGAGAAAGAGATCATCAGAGACATAAACATGAGGAGAGTGAGAGAAAATAAAGTATCAAAAATATTAACATGCATCATGAAGGAAGCTTGTGGGGTCTGTGATTGGGGGCAGGAGGGACGAATAGGGGATGTGGAAATTATTTAGGTGCATATGAAATAATTAAGACCGTTAAACAGTTTGATTCTTGATAGAATTGACCCTCATTTCAAATAAATGTGATCCAAGGTATTTTGGTCAGTAGTTTCATATCAATATAATTTGTGATTTTTAGGTGGTGATGACTGATGGATTAATATAGATGGACAATACTAAAGGGGAGAAATGAGATATTTGTCAATCATTATAAGACATATAATTACCTGTAGTACTTTATGAGACATTCTGGTGAAAGGGTATAGTTTTTGTTAAGGAAGAGCATAATAATTGGGGGAAAATGATGACATCAAGTCCTGCTTGATATTTACCTCAGTTAACTTCTTTGTTCCTAAGTTTGTCAGTCTCTAGATCCATTATGAGTATCCTCCCCCCCCCTCTCTCTCTCTCTCTCTCTCCCCCTCTCTCTCTCTCTCTCTCTTTTTTTTTCTCTCTCTCTTTTTTTTCTCTCTCTCTCTTTCTCTTTCTCTTTCTCAACTTGCTATGGCAAAGAAGATGATCTGTCCCTCCAGTCCACATGCTCCTCACACTCACCCGATTGTTTCGGAACTCATCACTGCTAATGACTAAGTTTAAACATTTTTTTAATGGTGAAATGTCATTTATTGAAAGTATATCAGAGGTGCAAGTTATAATGTGATATAAATATTACTATCGGTATGATAATTATTAGGCATACAGTAAACAAAGAATGACAATTTCATCATAGTTTTATCATAGAATACTAATGTAAAACTAACACAAATTGTATGTGCAAAAATGAAAAACTTTTAACTGGTTGATTAAACTATTTTCGACCTCAAATTTCGCAAGATGAGTAACAAATGCTTAGTATATCGACGATTGTATGGTAACCAAAGAACACTGCTCAAGGTACTTCTTTTTAAGATTCGCAACTTATGGTGATCAAGGTGATATAGTTGAAATTAGTATATTTGTTTTGAATTGGATTGTTTTTTTCTTTTCTTTCTTTTTTTCTTGTCTATATTTTTTTTTTAAACAAAACATGAGATGTGGCAGAAATCAAAGTAACAAATATTAATACATGACTTAATTTTGATATGTTTTGATTAGTCTTAGTTTTATGATCTTAATGCTATTTGAGATCAAAACATATTATAACAAAATGAAAATATGTCAGACATGAAAAGGATATTTACAATACAGTTTGTCCATCAAATCAATTGGAAAACAATACCCACCATCAAAAGTCAATGCGCATATTTAGACAAAAATCATGATACAAAATGTAGACAAGGATACAGGATTCCTAAAAAGAATAACATATTTACAATTATGCATATATAAGGGAATGTGGTGACTTGATTTTTAAAAATTATGAGGAAGCAGACATCAGAAGAGAAACTGATGTAATTTAGCAAAATGATTTAGCATAAGTAGCATAGTATTCCTCTTTTATGTAGCGCTTAATACAATGTCTCTAAGCGCTTTACATAATATTTTACCCCGGTCTTTGGTTTCAGTGCTTGCCCACTGTGTGCACATTTCCCACTCCCTGGGGAGCATTTTAGCCAGGTGTTACTTGACGCTCAAAAACTGTTTGACCAACAATGACGGTCGCATCCTACCGGGTACCCAAGCAAGTGCAGGCTAATATCTTGCCAAAGGATATTAGTGCCGTGCCGGGTTTCGAGCCCTCGACCTTCGCATCTCCAGTCAAGCGCCTTAAACCACTCGGCCACGACACTCCCACACAATACCTTTTTTTTTTATTCAAGCAATTTCTTAAACAGTTTTGCGAAGTTCACTTTTCAAAATTTGTTGTAGCATTTGGAAATTGACCTCTCTTGACACCTGATGACAAGCCTGATCAGGAGCAGTCAGAGACTCATATGGGTTTCCAACAGCTTGTCTAGACTGAGCAAACGGTAGGATCAGAGAGTTGTCACCTGGACGGTACATCACCCTTGTACATCCGCTCCGAAGGGCTTTGTTTATTTTCATCCTGGAGAAGCAGAGTGCCATGGCAACTAGGATGATCACAAGGAGGAGTCCTCCAGCAGCACCACCACCTATGATGTACTCATAGCCTCTGAAAGCGTTTCCTTGGGATCTCACCAGAGTGTCTGTGATTGATGGATATCTTTC